AAAATTTTTTTAATTTAAAAAATAAAGAATTTGTCCATAGATCAAAGGGATTCATGCTTAAAGTAGAGCACAGATACATCTAAGAAATGTTTCGAAGTCTAGGCTCTGCACATGATTGGGCAGGAGAGTAATTTCCAGTTGCAAAGGAAATCTAAAGCAGGAAAAGTGTGATCATTTAAGGAGAGACTTGATGGTCATGCAAACAACCAATCCAATGTGTCCAGTAGGCTCTTTCAGGAAACACATTTAAATTTTTAAAAAAAGTTTCTAACCGTATGGTACCATATGGATGTCAACCCCTTGAAGCTTGGGAGAGGAGTAAGAAATGTGCTTTTTGGTTATGCAAAGCTGTCTGTGAGAACTCTGAGCCCTTCATGGCTAAAAAATGAGAGGAAAGAGGAACTGTGAATGACAGACATCAGAGATGGTAACAGACACAAAGATAAACAAAGCAAACTGCACAGCTCTCTCATTCAGGGTATTTTCCATATAGTAGTTCCTAAGTGACATTTTGCTTTTGGATGAAGAAATGACTGAGCACCTTAGCAAGGGGTTTATTGTGAGAAAAAGCAATGCCATCCTGTACATTCCAATGAAATCTAATCATGATTGGTTCCTTCTGGGGGATATTTTAGGCCCCAAAGCATCCAGGAGTGAGCTCTAGTTCTCCCAAAAGTTTGAAACCCGAGAACCAATCCAATTTTGGAAGAGGGCCCTCAAAACAATTCTGATGGAAATTCTTTTAGCTACTCTAAGCTCTCCACTGTGCCACCTCCACAGGAGAACTGGGGGTGGGAATTAGTTCTCATCAAAATTCCTGAAGTACCCCCTTACTCCCTGCCACTCACCAAAACTACATTAACAAAGCAAACCTAATATGTTTGATGGCATATATATGGGTTTATTGAATTCCTCTGAGCTGCTGAGAGAGCAGGAGTGAGGGGAATCGGGCTGATGACTGGATTTAACTCAACTAGTACTTGCTTCCAGCAATTCTTCATTGCCTGGGCTGAATGAGAGAAACCTGTTTCCCATTCCCTGCTTCTCATTCCTCTCCCTTATGCGTGGACAGAGTAACTTGCGCTAGTGAGTTTTAAAACCAATAGATTTTGCTGAACCATTTGGGTGAAATGGTATCATTCATATGCTTTGGGGAACACTCAATTACAATTGGTTTTAGGCAACTGAGACAGCTGGGTGGAAGAACACACATTGGATATAAGCGAATACCAACTTTTTTAGGAGGTGGGTCCAATTTCCTCTTACAAAATTCCAGGCTAATTGCTGCCCCGTTGGATTCCTGGCAATCGCACGAAGAAGAGATGCCAAATCTTGTGTCTTGATAACCTTTCCTTCCATTCCTAGTTCAATTAATCTGAAGAAATAAAAACCACATGATTTTTCATGGCATGTGTTATATAGAGAAAATGAACTCAGGCTACCAATATATTAAAAGAGTAGGAGAGAAACAGGGATGTTAAAAATCATAATTAACGGAAAACAATAATAAATTTTCTACTGGCTAACATTTTTAATGTCCCAGTTAAACTTCTACTTTTTTCTAGCAGTAATTTTATTCACTTATTATTTCAAAGAACTTTCGTAAGATCTTATACAGCATCTTATATGTAACAATGTATTTTTGCAATAAGTGTCCTTCAGTTTTCTGAAAGTAAAACATAGCCAATTTTCTAGCATCAATCACATGATGAAGAACTAGGTAATATCTGTTTTCACTATTTGTATTTTGCCAATACATGTATTTTTTGGAAGTGAATTCAAAGTAATTCAAATCCTGATTCAATTATATGCCTTTGAAATCGGTGGCTGGAATTTTAGTGATTGCACTGAGTTTGTGTCAGTTTACTTTTAACAATTCAGGTAAATTAATGCACTTACTTCATTAACTTTTCCTGATGTTTGTTGGTTGACAATGCATAGAGAATTTTGTTTTTTTCAGCACCTGACACTGACAATTCATAGTGCTTTAAAAGGGAATTCCATCCTGCCGTTGTCTGAGCACCCACGGAATACACAATCTTTAAAACATCTGTTGGGATACTGTGATATGAAGCACAAAAGTAAAGAAAAAAGCTCTATGAAAGAAAAAACTTTTTTTTCTGTATTTCAATTTTAAATTGCTATAACATAATCACCCCTGATTTATTTCCAGTACCTAGCATATTAAACCTTTCTTTTGACAAACTTTTATAAAATTATTTTATGTAATTTTACTTTGCAAATCTGTGTATTTTTTCCTACTGATGATAAAATATTACAAGGAGAATAATCATAAAGTGTTCACCTACTCAGAGATGAATATAGAAACTTGATGGAATCAATAAATAAAAGACGATTTCTGAAATGTAAAAGCACTGGTTTATAGAGAATTATATCATTAAATAACCTGCACTGATGCTATATTATTTTTTAAAATATAATTCCTTGCTGCATTAAAATCACATTAAGAGTATATTCTAACAGGCCTGTCTGAGGGTCTTCTGACCCTAGGTCTAGAGAATTGTAAATTAGCATAACTAAGTAGCATTTAGACATTCTACAAATCTGAAAAAATGGTAAGATGCAATAACATTATTTTCTGTCCATCTAAAGAAGACACCATAATTTGGGGATTTGATTGACCTAAAAGATATTAACTAGTTTTGATTGTAATTTGGTCTATGAGTTTTAATCCCAAATATCTTTAGATCAATAATAGCTGATATTCATATTGATGGCTTGGAAAAACCACAACACAGGGAAGTGGAATGGGACAGAAATTTGCATTTATCAGGCAGTGACCATATGGTAGAGATTGTACTAGTCTCTGTACATTTTATTTAACTGTCAAAGCTACTCAGTGAGATAGCTGTTAATCCTAATTTTTAAAAAGTGGAAATAAAGCTCAGAAAAGTTAAGTAACTTGCTCCAAGGTGATATAACTAGCCATTTTGAAGACAGGATTTAAACCTGTGATTCTAACGCTTGTGCTATTTCCACTCTATATACTATCTGTACTCAAATATTCCAAGTGCCATTTGACTCATAATATAAAAAATGAGTAATTAAATTATAGTCCACATTTTTTTGATTTGAGTGTATTTTACTGTATAAATTTATAAAAATTGAGAACAAATATATTATAAGTTCCTTATAGGTAGGACACATACTTGTTTTGTTCACTACTTTATCCTTAGTGCCTGGCACATAGGTGACATACAAAGGAATCATATTTTAAATTCATGAATAAATGAAGTAATCGATTAATCTCTATAAGGAAATTTTTCATTACAATTAATACTAATGGGTCTTGAAGTTTAGAAAAATAACCCTACAATATCTAACAATGCATTCTTGATTACAAGCATAAATGAACTGTACCCAGAATATTTTCACAGGCATAGCATCCTATTCAACATGCCAAACCATTATATCTATTGTACGTGAGTTACTGCAGGTAAGATCATCCGTGTTGTAACCAGCATAAAGACAGAAGAGTAATCTATTGTGTTATGGGGCAGCAGGAGATCTACATTTTAGCCTTACTCATACAACCCATTCCAATACAAACAAAAAGAAAAGAAAAATAGAGCTGGAAGGTATATTTTTCTATAAGTGATTTTAAGTCCCCCAAAGCAGAAAAGTCCAAAAAGAAGAAAACTGGGATTGCTTCTTAAAAAAAAAAATTCAAGAAAAGATTTCAGAAAGCTCACTGAGACAGGGTTACATAGAGAGAAATTACGCTAGCACATCATAGCAATTTTGCACAGGAAAAATTGGTACCATCTCATTACATGGTAAAGTTGTGAATTTTTTTTCTTCTATTAAAAATAAAAATGAACGTTCCTGAATTCATATGCAGATTTGATTTCTGAAAACATCCAATGCTCAAGTCAGAGTTTTAACAATAACAATATAAAATTATGTGTTGGACAGAAATCAAGGCTGACATGGACGTGATCTGTTAGTGCCTATGGGCTGCAGCCACTAAACTGAATTGCAGCACCATCCATTTGATCACTGGGCATCCTTCTGATTATACTAACCACAGAATCAATTTTGCCTCGAATCATCAGATTCCCATCAAACTTGGAACTTGGAGCCAAGGCTTTGTCTGTGTTATCAGTCAATGAGGAGGTAAACATATTCTTTTAAAAAGGCACTCGCCACCCCCCACCTCTTTTTCCAAGTTTCATCAGATGATCACTGGTGTTTTAATTGCATGTCCATTTTACTTTGCTTTTTATCTTTAAAAGCCATCATTTTTGGAGATGAGTGCCCCTCTGCTTTCACCCCCTGGCTATCTTTCTATTATCATGCCAGTGTTTATTTAGCTTTCCAGGGACTTCAACCTCACTTCTCACAAAATCCATTGAGCGGTGGCTATGTGAAAGCATGAACAAGGGTATGTAATTCCCAGGATGTTGTGGGGTTTTTTTCTGTCCTCTCTAAATGTTTTAGCTCTAAAGTCCTGCATGATCAAAGACTTGTATATTAAAGTGAAAGGAAAAAAGAACAGGACAGAAGTCCAGATGTACTTTAATTTTCCATTGGATTCCATCCACTGCGAGAAGAGTTCAGTTGCCTTCCGGATGCAAGGAGCATGGTTCAGGTGACAGGCCAGCTTTAAGAGGGTAGAACGGAGCATCCTGTCCCAAACGGAGCCCTCCTCACTCCAGCTTTGCGCGTCAATCACCGGCTTAAAATACCGGAGAAGGTATTGCTGCAGAAAGCATAGGATAGTTTACAGAGAGGCTAAATTTAGTTCTTAAGACAGCTCTTACCCATCTAAAGGCTCAGCTCCAAACTATCTGCATGAACCTTTTCCCAAAACACAGAACTACTTACTTATCATTATATTTGTCTTTTCTTTTTCTGGCCCAACCCACCATGTTTAAGGAACATAATTAGTTTCTCCATTAAAAATATGATTTAATTTCCTATCTGAGAGGGAACTATCAATTGATATAAGATAAAATCACCTTAGGAGGAGTGTGTTGCTCATGATCCTGGCAGGGCTCTTAGGATGGTGATGACAAGGAAGGAGGGGTAGCCAACCACTAGGTGCTGTGGTGTTAACTGTGCTATCAGCCAGCTTCCTCAGCTTCGCAAAAAAATTTAACCCCAAGAGTCCACACAAAAAAGACCAAGTCTCACTGACCCTCCAGACTCTGAGTATTTATTCAATGAGTTTTCTGAAAGTAACACAAACCTTGAGGTTTTCAGTGACATCTGAAATATTCCTTCTGTCCATCCTGTGATAAAACAATTCTAAGTATTCCAGACCTTTGAGAAGAGCAAGGACGCTTGTTTCATGTTGGAGATAGTGAGTCAGGTCGAGGGCTTTGTCTAGCTTCAGCCTTCCTGCACTGAGGCATAAAACAAATATTGTATATATCTTACAGTTCTTACTATTAACTATGATATAGAGAGCAATAACAAAAGTTCATTATAGCCAGACCATTTGATTTAAATACTAGCTCTGCCACTCACTAGCTGTGTGATTTTGGGCAAATTACCTAACCTCTCTGGGCCTTACTTGCCTCCCCTATACGATGGGGAGAGTAACAGTATCTTCTTTTATTGTAAGGATTAAATAAGTTCATATATGTAAAGCACTTAGAATAATATCTAGTACACAGTAAAAGCTTTACAAATAAAATAAATATTAACTAATATTAAGCACCAAATAATATCAAAGTGTTCTATTATGTCATTCGTTAATTGTTTAATTTGTGGCTTTGAATTATCCCTCTAAGTGAATTTGGAACTTTGAGGACAGGTACCAGATCTTTTCCTTTTTTGATGTCCCTCCTACAGCCTAACAGAGAAGCAGCACTTATTGCGAGTGGGACAATACAAGTATTTCCATTTTTTTTTTTGAATCTAGATTCTAAAGTTATATACCTTCTCTGCATTTTCTCTTAATGAGAAAAACAAACAACAAAACTATTATTCTGAATACCAAAATGTTAGGGTCTCTTCTGCAGAGGAAATAAACTGTTGCAATGTCACTTTTGCAAAATGGTTCTCACATGTGATTCTGAGAGGACCTATGTCTTCATTGGTCTATAAACCATCCTTGCCAGCATCCGATTCCCATATTAAGCTAATAGTTTGATATAGAAACAGATTCAAGAACAAAGGATGTGCCTGTTGAATTTTTCATTAACATAATGCCCTACTTCCTTTGGGGTTTAAAATTGTTAAGTTCTTATCTAAAAAGAGGGAACTGAAACTAGAAGTTAAATTAAAAAGAACCAACTTTGTTGTGGCTTTACTCTTCTCCATCACAATGACACACTGCTTTAAATAGACTTATGGAAAAATTTCCAAAAATTTTGTCTGAAGACAGAAGTCTAGACCATATGCTCTATGATTCTATGATCTGCTGTATTTTTTAAAACACAAATCCACAAAATATCACTATTCCTTCTCACGTGTGGAAGTATCATAATATACAGTGCAGTTAATACCTTGGAGGGATCAGCAACAGGAAGAAATTGGGTATTATATTCTACGGTCACAATTTTAAAAAAATGTAACACATAAAAATCACTTTATATTGATCCTGTTTTTCTTTTTGGCCCAGCCTAATTTGTTTGTTAATAAAACAAATGCCATCCCCAGCCTAATTTGTTTGTTAATAAAACAAATGTCATCATTAGAAACCTTTATACTTTCTTACTTTATAAAATTTTAATCTTAAAATTCATTTAAAAGGGACTTTTTTCTTTTTATATAGTTATTGTTTAATAAAAATCCAGCCCCTTACCACCTGCCCTCTGTTTCAATCAATGCAGAAAATGTTATCTGAATGTCTGTTTATCTTAAAGACTAAACACATATTTAAGCATACACTTCAGACTAATAGGAAAAATCTACATCTACTCTTTGTAAATAGTGTTAGCTAAATGGTACCTTTGTGAAATAAAACCATATTCCCATGGAACCAATTTGGGGCTTACTTTTAAGGTGTGGGACTAAAAGAAACAATAGTTTTTCTGTAAGGAAATTAAAGTTGTCATTTTAATTCCACTCAATTCAGATGGGATCCAAGTCTTAGATTATATTTAATAAGTATGAAAATCTAATTAAAATAAATATCCATTCCTGGGTCAAATTTTGTCTGCAAGGTAAATGTAATCTCTGATTACTTCCTTTAACTCTTAAAATAGATATTTTATAGAGCAGAGAAGGAAGAAATATATATTACCGAGGGAGTTTAGCAAGTAAAGATATTTAGACTGATGATGAGAGTTTTAAATCATTTCCTTATACAATTATTTTTATTACAGAAGTAATATAAACAAAATACAAAACAATTGAAAATTAGAGAAGAGGGGGAACATACTCATAATTTCAGTACCCTATGCATTCACTAATAGCATTTTGGAATATTTCTTTCTTTTTTTTTTATTTCACATTTAGCCTTTTTCCTATGTAGTTGAAAACATAATAATACACAAATTCACATGATTTCAAATGCATTTTTAAACTTCACATTATTTCAAATGCATTTTTCTATGTTATCACCTCCTCTTCCTATGCAACACATCACCTTTTAAACAATTTATGTTAGATCATTCTAATAATGCTAACTGCTGACATTTATTGAGTGGGGGTACTGTGCTTAGTGCTTTATCTGCCTTATCTCATGCAACCCTTAAAACAACCCTGTGTGACAGACATTATTATTTGAAACGGGAGTGTTAAAGACCAGAAAAGTTTTAAAGACTAGAAACTTTATGCTGAAAACGGCTAAATAACTTGCCCAAAGTTTAATAATAAGTAAAGAGGTAGTACCTGCATTCACCGGTTTTACACCAAAACTCGTACTCTTAATTAACTTTATTAACCTGTCCACCTAGTGAAAAACAGGTCATCGTTTTCCCACTGATGCATCAACAACTGTCGTGTTCCTTCTGCTAAATTTAGGCTACCTAGAAATGTATAGGCTAGAAACAGCAAAAAGGACTTTGCAACTACTTGAAAGATTGGCTTTCCTTTGCTGAGTTGTCAATATTCTTCATTCTTCCTAGTCTTGAATTTTTAATCCACCCATTCTGCAATCTGCGAGTTTCTCCTTTGAGCAGACAAACCTCCTTCAATTAACAGTAGCCTACTTCTCAGCTAGTCTATTATGCATCTACTCAGATGTAGGATGGTGTTTTCCTAATTTTAGCTTCTGGTATGCTATGATACCGTGTTGTTCCTGAGACTATGGGGCTGAGGATTAAACACTCAATCTTTTTCCTTTTCTAACTAGGGAATTCAGTTGTAGGGCGAGGCTTTGCCTGAGAGATGTCCTGCTGGTTACTTTCACTCAAGCTGACCTAAATAAGCATCCGAAAGGAAATAATATGACACACTGAATAAAGTGAGTACGTTACAGTAATTCTCAAAATAGGAAAAGCTTACAATGCACAATACTCCACCTGATCCCCATTTTCGCCCCCATTGGTGATATTGTGACCTGATTATTCTATATATTATATTATTCTGTTGATAATAATAAGTGGGAAAGGAAAGAAAACACTTTGTCTTTCCAGGCAAGTCCAAAGAGGAATAAACATAAGCAGCTAATTCTTCCTTCATTTCCCTAACAATTTCAAATTGATTTCTTCAATATGAGCAAAGTAACGAATGGATTATGTGCTAGGCTAACAACTGATTTAAAATTGTGAAGGTTAAGGCTATATATATACTTTTTGTTTGGCAGATGACATAGGTATTTGGTGAAACAGCAAGCTACTAGCCTAAAGAAATTTTAAATGTGGGGTCAAAAGCTTAAATACCTATAAGTTCTACCCTAAGTGAGTGAAGCAAGCCACTCATATGTACTGTCTAGGATTTGGGCACATGCGACAGTGCAGGCCTGGCCTAAGTGGGGATTCCCCCACTGCACCCTCCTCTGTGGTTGTCCTGTGGGAATGAAGGCCTACAGTTGCCAAATCTTTTCATTTTTAAAAATTTATTTCTTTTTTAATTATTATTTTTTCAGTTACAGTTGACATTCAATATTATTTTATATTAGTTTCGGGTGTACAGCATAGTGGTTAAACATTTATATAACTTATGCAGTGATACCCTCGATTAGTCCAGCATCCATCTGATACCATACATAGTTATTACCATATTATTGACTACATTCTCTATGCTGTACTTTATATCCCCGTGGCTATTTTGTATCTATGAATTTGTATCTCTTAATCCCTTCACCTTTTAAAGAGATTGCAGAAGTCAGGGTTTTATATGAAATTCTTCACAGTTTAAAATGTTGGATTACATTTTTTTAACACTATGGGGGTCAAAATACCTTATCAGTGGGTAGGCTTTGGCCTAGTGGCCAGTATTTGGCCTCCGTTCAGACCCCTATCATATGAATGATCAACACTTAATTTTTTTATTTTGAAATCTAGCATATCTGGTTATCTGTCCATTATTTCCTGTGAAATCAGATGAAAGTTTACATTACCTTACTAGCTGAAAAGCATCATGAATTAGACCGACTCTGTCCTTAGGTCTGAGAAGTGTGTGGTTCTGATTCAACTGTGTAATTAGTTGGTCCCATCCACGCCCCTCATAGTGAACGATGTAGTAGCCAGTTGAGTCCACATTGAATTTCACCCAACCCGTATTTTCAGGTAAATCCAGAGTATCTAAGGTGACGATATTGGCATAGGCATTTCATTATCAATATACACACCAAAAAACATGTCCAAAAATGTTCGTTTCCATACTATCATTAATAAAAGAACATATTTAACTTCAGAATTGAAACAACTGTTTAGCTAATCAGTTCATTACCTGTTTTTGATTTTAGAATGTATCTGTGAATCACATTAGAGGAACTTGTGGTGTAGGTCAGTGGGATGTGCCAAAGGTACCTATGTTAGAAAGTAAAGACTGTTACAGATTGTATTAATGTCCATTTCAATTTTAGCATTGTCAGACTCAGATAAGCTGTGAAAGGCACCTCATCACCCATCCTTTACACTATCCGTGGTCTTATACATTTTATAGGCCAATACTAGGATATCCTTGGGTATGCAAAAATTCTTGCATGATGATTATGAAGATGCAGCAATATAAATATAGTTGAACTCTGTCACAATTACCTGTGCCATTTGCTGTCTAAATCTCATACCACAATAAGTTCTGTTGATTGTTTTCTTTAAGAGAAAAAAAAAATCCCATCTTCCTTTCACATATCCAAAAACTCTGACAGCCTGATACTAATTCAAATAACTGAACCAAAGCTGTAGGGAAAAGCCTCAATAGGTATAGATCTTATTCCAGTATGATTTTTCACTTATCCTTTTGTTCAATAAAGTTATCCACATCCAGCCACCCAGCTGCTGAGTGACGTGGGTAAGTGATCCGAATGCGTTAGCCTAGGATCTGCAGGTCATCCAAGTCCAAGGAGCAGAAAAACAGAATGGATGGGAGCAAAAGACCTCAGTTAGTTTTCAGTGGCCCTACTATGGGAAATAACAGATATTGGCTATTTTTTTCTGACTGACTTCCTAGCAGCTTCTAGAATTTATTTCCTCTATCACATCAAGCCATATTAGCTATAGTAACCCTGCACCCGTAAAATCATGTGCTTGAAAATACCAACAGCTGAAAAACAGAAAGAAGAATAACTGAGGATGTTCCTATTAGTCTTCAAAAAATATAAAAGAAGGAAAGAAACAACATACACAGTCTCCATCTAGTAAAGGGTCAGAAGGGATCATCTATCTACCTGCTAACCCACAGAGTACAGATAACTAACAAAGCAATTGAAATATTTACAAAAACTGTAAAAATAGACACATAGATATTGCCAAGGCTTAGTGGTTTGAGATTCCTGGGTGGATCTTGGCTTTAGAAGGAAAGAGATTTCTTCCAGATAAACATATCTGGAAATAAAAAGAGGGAGAGGAGCGTTTCATGAGTTTGGATAGGCATGAATCAGAGAGTAATAATTTCATAATAGTAATCTAAAAACTGCCTTAGATAGAGGAAAAATACAGATCATTATAGATCTTTGATATT